GGTCATCTCTCTACCTTCACCTCCTTCTGCTGCCCGTCTGGTTTTTGGCCCCTTTCGGGGGTCCTGCTGGAACCGGATCACACATCTGGATCCCAGACCCCCTCAGAGCCCCACAGCTGGAAACACAAAGGCTTCCTCCCACCTGGACATTTATAAATTTATCCGGCTCTAATCCTCCGTCACTCTGAATATTCCTACCATTAGGCTCCGCCTCCTGCTGCTATAAATAGCTCCTCAGGGCTCCAGCCCAGAGGCCTTAATCCTCCGGCTGGTTTGGATCCTGAATCCTGAACAGATGGGTCAGCTGACCATCCAGCTGATGAGTTTTCCCTCCTTTATTTTCACCCAAATCATTTACAAAAACCCGGAGGTTTCTGTGAGGTTTTTGGGACCCAGACAGTAGCAGGAACCGTTTTCCCTCCAGCTGAAACTGTTCCAGAGGGTTGGTTTTATTTCTGTGTTTTTAGTTTTTTTTAGACTCTGGCTGCAGCCTGTAGGAGCCTCGGCTGGATATCCAACTCCTCCAACATCCAAGTCGGCCATTTTGATTAGGTCATGTGACTAGCAGCTTTCTGAGGTGGAAACGAAAGTTTACTGTCTAAACAAAATCAGAGGACAAACGATGTCCTAACCCTAACCCTGACCCTGATCCTGATCTTAACCCTAACCATAAACCTAACCCTAATCCTAACCCTGATTATTTCTTTGTAATTTATTCATTTTTACATCTCTCTTATATAAGTAGTTTGTATTATTGCTATGTATAATTATCTACAGTATTTATTAAGGAGTTATCGTATGTTTTTTGGCTTTGGAACGAATTATAGGAATTACAGTGTATTCTGATGGGAATATTTGAACCAACATACGAATATTTGAACATAGGAAGTAGGTCCCAGAACTAATTAAATCCGTATGTAGACGTTCTGCTGTATCTTCAATTTTCTCGACCTGATGCCGTAAAACAGGAGGCGTTTTGGGGCCTTTGCTCCCTAATTCCTGCCCCATTCACACCTTTTTTAGTTCAGGCCCGGCTGGAGGAGCTGGTCTCCGGTCCCGTGTCTCCAGACGCCCACCGGCCGCCGGACCCTCGCACAAAGGCCTCCGATTGAGGTGCGAACAATGGAGCGGCCGGCCGGCAGCCTCCCGCAGCACAATGGCTCTTCTTAGGCGTTAGCCTGTTAGCATGTTAGCCTGGAATGACTGAGAAACTGCTGCCTTTCTGCTGTCTGTGGGCTGGGACTCAGATTTTCAGACTTCTGGGGAACATCATCTGATCCAACATGCAGATTTAGTACCTTTTTAATGTCGTTTTAATCCATTTTGGGGGCTTTTGATTGCGACCAAAGAGAGACCACAGAGGATATTCATGCATTTAAATCAGTGTTTTTCAACCTATTTTTAGCCAAGGTACATTTTTTCATAGAAAAAATCCAGAGGCACACCACCAACCAAAAATGTTAAACAAATCTGTAGCCGCCTATAGTAACACTATAGTTATTCTTATTTTGTCCTAAGTGTCTTGAATAGGAATCAAATAAACACAAAAATGTATTGTTTATCATATTTTATATTTATTCTTTCAAATTGCTCCTAACATGTCCACTTCAATATACAAAATTATATACAGAACACAGTCAGGAATTAGGTGAAATAGGATGATTTTCTACGGCACACCTGACCATCACTCGCGGCACACTAGCGTACCGAGGCGCAGTGGTTGAAAAACACTGATTTAAATGACTGTTTTCTGATGGGAAGGAGGGTCGGTTAGATCTAAGGATGTGATCCAGCCTCGGTTCACACTGGTTCTTTGTCCCGGCGGGCTCAGCTCATCCTGGGGGGCCACACACGGGCGTCCCTCGTCCCCTCACCATGACACGGTGCCAGCCGGCGCCCCGGCCCACAAACGCACTCTAGTCCACTGTCTTCTGCCCACCTCTCGGGGTTTTTCTTTCCGCCTCAATGATCTGAAGCTTTGAAAGGAGGTGGCTTAGAAAAGGCCCGGGTTAGGCTTGTCTTGATCCGATATCTGGATCGGATCGGCCGCCGATATTCGCAAAAAAATGCACATTCGCCGGCAGGAGAAAATGCAGATCCAGACTCCAGATCCCACACAAAGTTAGCATTAGCATTAGCATCTCCTAACCCACAGGTCTCTGTCCTAACCATTAAGACGGAAATGTAAATGTGAAGCTATCGGTAAAAATGTCAGGTGTAGGATTATTTTGTGTTTAACCCTGAATAAACAGGTCAGTGTCTCTTTACCAATCAGTGTGTGTTATTCAGATTCCCCTAATTCATCTGGCTAGCATTAGCATCTCCTAACCCACAGGTCTGTGTCCTAACCATTAAGTTGTTATCAGAGTAAATCCCTGTTCAACATGAGTCTGACAACTAAGTAAGTAAATGAATAACTTTAAACTTTAATACATGCTCTGATAGGCCGGGATCGGGATCTGATCGGAAGAGCAAAAAGCTGGATCAGGACATCCCTAGCCCGGGTCGGTATCTGTTATTAGTGGAGTTTCAGTGGGTCTAAAGGCACCGGCGGAGGTTCGGCAGCTGTGAAGAAAGAGGCCATTCTTCTGGTGTTGGTCGGGCTTGTGGAGGAAGGAAGTCGGGCGGGCGGGGAGCAGAAAGGGAGACGGATTTGTGGATTCACAGCTTTGATTTGGACAGAAATATCCAGTTTAAGGCTTTCTACGGAGCCCTAAAAGATTCAACTCGTAGATGAACGTCCCTGCTGGATTTATTGACTTTATGACTGAAATTAAACATGTTAAAGTTCCTCTTTCCTACTGGACCCCGCCTCCATTCTGCACCACTTTGACCTATCAGCCTCGTAGAAGACGCCATCAGACATTAATGTTTGAAATCTAAAAGAAAAAAGAGGCTATGTACATTATCAACCAATCGTTTCTTTAGCGAGCCCATCAGAAAGATCCAGAAAGACTCTTCAAATGGGGACATCGATTATTTTTAGAGAACGGCTGATTATAAAAGGCTTACATGTTTTTTTTTAGAGCCTTTTGGGTCTTAATGCTTATGTTTATGTATTTAGCAAACGCTTTTATCAAAAGCGTAGTATATACATGTATATCGCCACGTTAAATACAATTTACCAACATGACAGGGCCAATATTAGAGGGACACAAAGAAAAAACTGACCCACTGCTGCAGATTCTATGTGAGGAGACTCAATCTTTCTATTATTAACTGTATTATCAGTGTTCTGAGACATGTGATTGCACATTTTGTGTTATTTTATGAGTTTTAAAGAAGACTGTTCGCGATTTTTAACTTCA